TGATACGGGTCTCGAGCAACGGCTCGTGATGTGTTAGATAATGAATGCGCTTAAGTGTGGGACAGCTGTGCGCAAAGAGGTAGCCATCTTTGGAACCGCAGACAACCACTGCGCCGAACAGCGCTATGGATGTGATATTATCGCCGGTTTTGAGATAGTGATCAAACGGACATATTATGAATGTCTTCGAGTCATTCGTGAACAGAATCTGATTGTGGTCTACAAATGAAACACAAAACTCGTTAACAAATGAATTAAAAGTCAAATGAAACGTTAAAATTACTCGTTATTATAAAAAAGATTCCGTCACCAAAAGAGAAGACACTCTTAACGGAAATCAATCCATAATCGGCTCCATTGAAGGGATTGCGAACGCATTGATAGTGAAGTTCGTTCACTGAAGACCACTTCCATTTACGATCGCTTTTACCAGAGATGAGCTCATTGTTTGTCTCAATATCACCGCAAAGAATCTTCGTGTCTTCGTGACTAAAGATTTTCAACTGTTTTCAATGCAAAACACAATCAATTAAAACATTATAAACATTATAACAAAGAGAACAAACCTGAAGATTGTTGAACGTAAAGATTCCCAACCAATGGTTAGAATCGGCAAAATGTTGTTCACACGACACGTGTGTAATGAAGTTGGCTTTGAGAGCCTCTGTGCCGACGGGAACGACACCTTTTGTATGGAGAGACAGACGAAAGAGTGTGATATCGAGTGAGTGCTGGTCAGAGATGGCCAACAGATCTTTAGAGACGCGGACTTTCATGAAACGGCGCTCTAATAGCGGACAAATGCTGAATGACTGACCGACGCCTCGGCCCGCTATGAGTGAGATCTCAATGCCATTACTGGCGCTGATTGTAATCATGTGGTGATGGTTTGCAAACGACGGATAATCTGTGGGATACGGATCCGAATCATTGGATCTGATTTTGTGATATTCGTAGATCTCTGTAAAGATTGCAAACCATTAATAAACCCATTATTAAGACAAAAACAAACCCAATGCTAACCATCTCCGGCCAGATTGACGACCGCTATATCATTGACTCGATCTTTATGTCGGGTCACTACAAGAGGAGCCATATTGTTGTGAGCGTCAGTCACTTTCACTTCACCCGATCGGTGACCAGTGATCACAAGAGTACCTGAAAAAGGGGTTAAAAATACATTTAGTGTGAAAATAGGGAGCAAAATGAGATAACAAAGAGATGGATCAGTTTACCGGTGACAGCAATTGTAGTGATGTTATCGACAAATAGGGCTTTAGTACCGAAAGAGTGGTTACTTTCGAGACACGTGTTGTCCACGTGTTTGAGCCGTTGATAGCGATACCACTTGACGTAAATGTCGCGACACTTGTCTGAATCCATGTCATCGATGGTGAGGACATTATACGAACTGATGGTCTCCAAGACTGAGGGCTGGATCTCCTGTTGACAGCGACGGCGCCAGAAGTGGTGTTCGTTTCGCTCGACATTTCGGACGGCGTTTCGCCAACGAGTGGACACTCGCGCCGACACCGCAAACGTATGGCCGACCAGATGTCTCACCACTCGNCTCGACATTTCGGACGGCGTTTCGCCAACGAGTGGACACTCGCGCCGACACCGCAAACGTATGGCCGACCAGATGTCTCACCACTCGCTCTATCACTTCCACGGGAAACAAATCCATTGAATCCATGGTTTGGACTGAAGAAGAAGTAGTTGTGGTTGTGTTTTGAGATCTGTTTGCAGTGTTTCGTACAAAAAGTTTTGATTTTGGCAACAGATGTGATGCCATTGACTACACTTTGGCAACAAATAACGTTCACTAGTGTCTCAAATGGGCAGCATTTAGACAACAGGAATCAAGTTTGGCATTCATTTCAACAACTTTTATACAAACTATTGATTTTCATACAAATAATAGTCAAATAAATGACAATTAAATAACTTGTTGACATCATCAACATGGTTAAAAGTATACTATTAGGATAACTGCATCAAGATTAAAGAATAATGGATTAGCAGTTAAAACACAATTTGTAATAACGTAAGAATTTGTTGTAACTTTTGTACAAAGTAGTGTTCTCAAATATAATTTGAATGCCTTAAACTAATGCTAGTAAATAAAATAAATAAATGACAATTTATAAAACTGTATATTTAGAAAATACAATTATTTTGCCTTATTTAGTGAAATGGCAAATAACGGCAAATATCCTAACAACACGTTTAATTGAATATCTATAGATTATGGACCACTTCTTTAAAATGTTGTTCTAACTTAATGCAATGTTTATTAGCTATTCCTGTATACTATAAAAAAACTTAAACCTTATGTTAATATATAATATAGATTATATAATAGTGTAGGAAATAATAGGATTTGTCGAGTATACAGATAATGTATAAGAAGTAACGATATACACTATGTATACGATATGGTAAGATCTTATTGGATATATCTATGGTATTACGATAGGAATCATTTCACACATTCAATAGGATTTCATGAAATGTGTGTTAAATAGAGTGAAACACATTTGAAGCCATTCTCTCGGAACAGCTGAACACCACTACAGATGACATTGAATTGAGACTACAATTTCCGTCTCATAATCATTACAACATATTATTTGCCATTTATATGCCGTCTCATTGATTGGCATTGCAATTGCTGTAACAGCACAACACAACTTCTCTATCAGTATTGAATATCAATCCTATAAATTGCGATAAAAACTGTTTATAAAATGTGTTTAATTGCATTGCAATCTATTTGTTAGTAGTTGTAATGAATTAATTTTGATTAGTCTTAAGTTATTTAGTAAAATATGTTATTTATTTAACTTAATTAATAATGGATTCAGAACTGGTGGACAAATTGTTGCCAGACACTGATCGCTATGACCATGCTCAAAAGTGCAAAAAGTTTATGTCGCTCAGGTTCCTGGTGGCATTTGTGTCGCTACTGGGTTGCGCTGTGATGTATATGACCAGGGTCAATATCAATGTTGCCATCGTTGATATGGTGACTGTTGTGCCAAAGATTAGTGTCATTAATACCGCATTCAATCAATCAGTGCTTTCCGATGAATGTCCGGTCGATTCTTTAAACATTGACAACACAACCATTGTTGGAGAGTTTGCTTGGTCTCCACCAACACAGGGAATTGTGCTTGGTGCTTTCTATTATGGTGATTATTTGCTTTTATGTACAATAATTGTCATCAATTATTTATTAGTAAAAAGGATATTACCATATATTTTGTCGTTTTAGTAGATTTGAAAGGAAATTACAATTTTGAAAAACTGCTCAATTCATAAGTCCTAAAACAAAATTTTCTTTTGAAGGTTATATTTGGCCGCAAATATTTGGCGGTCGCCTATCGGAACTATACGGCGCTAAGTATATGATCGGTATCGCGATATTCACGTCGGGTGTCATCAATCTATTCACACCTTTCATTATACGCTGGAATTACTACCTCTTCATTGGATCTCGAGTTGTGTTGGGTTTGGTTCAGGGAATACTGTTTCCCTCATTCATGGTATTGATGTCCAAATGGATACCACCCGAAGAGCACAGCACATTCATCCCATGGCTGGATGTCGGCTGTACTATCGGCACAATTGTCTGCTCTGCCGGTGCCGGACATCTCATTGAGAACAAAGTGATGGGTGGGTGGCCTTCAGTCTTCTACATATGCGGTAATTTATTGCAAAAAAACTTTTGATTTCATTTACTTTTTTTGACAAACAGTTTGTCAGCAAAATTTTGACTCATGTGTTGTGCAAGTGTTGAGACAAAAATTTGCAAATCATCTGATTTTTCATAAAAGAGGGATAAATAAAAGCAAATATTTTATTTATTCAATAATAATAATTATTATTATGTAATACTTGTAACTAATGTAATAATTCATGAATAATAATTATTATAAATCTTTCTATGATCTTTCCATTAGGTGTTGTGGCAATCGTGTGGTGTTTCCTATGGTTTTCAGTCATCACTTCTAGTCCTTCCTCTCACTCGTGGATAACAGACACTGAATTGAATCACATCTTAAAGAGAGCAGACAATAGGAGACAACACAAGACTCGGAACTCAATCCCGTGGAAGAGAATACTGACATCGAAACGCTTTCTATCGGTATTGATATCAAAAGTGTTGTTTGGCATTACATGGGATTTCATAACATCTAAAATTCCGGCTTATTTTCAAGATGTCATACATTTTCCCATCTCTGAGAACGGATCCATTTATTCAATATTAATGTTAGGTTTAGCCATCACTTCAATGAGCTCTGGTTTTGTGGCCGATATGATCCTCGAAACCAAATGGATTAGCAAAACAAATGTGAGAAAATTATTTCAAACGATAGCTGGCGTGGGAATGGCTGTCGCACTAGTGA